TTAAAATATATTTTAAACTTTTAGTTTAAAAATTATACATCCTACAGCATTTTTAGTCTTTATTTTACAGTTAAGATATATGTTTATTAAATAAAGTCTAATGTTACAACTAATCGAGCATTCCTTTTTAGAAACAGGTAATTCAGTCAGTTTGACAGATATTGAGCTTAAATTTGGTGTGGTAGTAGCTGAGCATCATTCCCAACACAAACCCTGAGATGCCACACTGTTTTCCTAACAGAAATATCATGCAACCCACTTTGTTCTTTGCTCCATTCAGGCTGTTAGCTCAACAATCTGATCATTCTTTTTCTCCAAACTGCATTTTATTAAAGCGTCATCTGCCACAGGTAAGATATTACCTCATTTAAAAAGTTTGAACCATCTCTGTAGGTGATTTTTATGCCCTTATTATAAAACCTCTTCCTGGAGACTCATCACAGGTTTTCAGTTTCATAAATCTTTTCTCAAAGCTCATCACAAAGTTTAACCTATTATTCAGACTTTTTCGTTTTTAAAACTCCCCTAACTGTCATCGGTTTTCAGAGAGTAATTTCCTAAGAATCCTCAAAGATTTTTTCCCCCCCCGTTTTTTTGTATGAGTCGCTCTGGTCTGTTACACGAGCCGGCCACCGCTCAGGCACATCAAAGCAGCTGACCTTGTGCCTGAAACACAACGAGGCCTTATTGCAGAGCCACGCTGGAGGAGGAGGAGCTGYGTGGGAGGGAGTCAAGTGGGAAGAGAATGTAAAATATGTGTACAGTTTGGATTCGGGTAGAACAATATAATGGGCAGGGGGTGTGTTGGTGCGTCAGGTTCACGCTCTGCACCTTTTGACCATTTAGACGTGTCATCAAAATGTTCGTATCTGCCTGTAATTTTGCGATGTTTTCACTGTATTGATTTTAGATGCTTTTAGCCGTGATTGCTGTAATCGCTCGCCCACTTGTCAGTGTTTGACCTTAACTCAAGTTGGTCCAATAAACAAACCCAAAAATGAACCTTGAGTGTTTTTAACGTTTTTTTTTACTGTTTGTTTTAAAACCACTAAGTCTGTTAATTTCCCCCCTGCAGATGAGCATGACGCAGTACAGAAGAAAACCTTCACCAAATGGATAAATTCACAGTTCTCCAAGGTATGTGAAAGTTATTTGCACCCATTTTCTCAAGGAACTGCTGCGATKAAATGTGACTATTCGAGGGCTATTTCAGTCAACACAAATTCCTCTTTATGGGTTTTTTATCCCTCTGCTAAACCCGAAAACACTTGGTTGCTTGTGGGCAGATTTCTTTTGTGTGTGGTCTTGTTTTTAGGCTTCATCATAGCAAGATTTATACCATCACATGAAATAAGGCTTTTGGCCTCTTGGTTTTTTTATGTTGTTTAACACTTTCTGATTCCCTCGAAACATCCTTCTAATGACACTTTGAAAACTTTTTTTTAGTCTGCRGTTTGTCGGTGAGTTAATATTTTATAGCTTGGTCCTGTTTTAGTTGGTTTATGTAGAAACTAACCTGCRGGTTGTGTTGTTTTTGTCTTCAGACAGGGAAAACGGCCATCAAAGATCTGTTTTCTGACCTGAGGGATGGGAAGAAGCTGCTGGAGCTGCTGGAGAGTCTCACTAATAATGTCCTGGTGAGTTAGTGCAAAAAAAAAATACACCCGCTTTTAATATTTATTCACAGTTTACGCAGAGAGTTCCTGACTTTTCCTCTATAGTGTATCATCTTTCCGGCACCTGCGGTTGTTTGAAATGCCAGCTGCCGCTTTGCCTATGGAAAGCACACAATTGTACACTCTCTCCGCTACCGGAATACTAATGCTATAATTGGGTGGTAATAAGTGGTTGAGGAATGTGAAGACTTAAAAGGGATTTGTAGTTGGCAGCGATTCATCCAGTCGTTCCTTGGCCTGTGGACACTGCTGATAGGGTAATGGCTGGGATGGGTGGGTGAGGTACAACAATGTGCTGAGTGATGGCACAGTTTTCCTTTGTGTCCCAGGGAATCACTGCGTTTTTACCTCYTGATTTGTTCGATACGTTTTTTTCTGAAAAGCTACAACTCGACTTCCTTCTTTGTTAGAGTTCTGTTGCCTCATTGTTGGCCTGAGAACAAGCCTTCAGCTGATCTCTGCTGCGTTTCCTCTTCCTCAGACCAAAGAGCGAGGCTCCACCAGAGTTCACTCCCTGAACAACGTCAATAAAGTCCTGCAGGTCCTGCATCAAAACAACGTGAGTACCCGCTCTTTCTTCAGCTGGTTTTAGCTTCTTGTCGGCTTCTTAACAGTCGTTGAATTAAAACATCGGTTTCTGAAAGTGTGAGAGTTGGGCTGCGGTGACATTTTAGAAACAAGAAAAAAAGGGAAGCATCATAACCTTTTATAGGTTTTCAGTTTTGCATTTTATTTTAGTAAATTCACAGGGCAAAATTTTTGAATGCAAAGAGCAATTACTTAATTTAAACCAGTAACCTCATTAAATACTGTATAGATGGCTTCATGTTTACTTTTACTACTGTTACATATTTCTTTGTTTGTTTACCATCAGTGTCTCTTTACTTGTTTTCTCTTTTTTGTGATCTATCC